CGGCCTCACACGAGACGAAAATGCAGCTTTCGATAATAACCGAGTGACCTTTGATTTTCCTGATTTATTCGTACATTCTGCTATGGATGTGATACCTTCAACCTCACGGTGTAATAGTGCGGTGAATAAGCAATTTAGTGCCGTAGAAATTGGTGAGTTATTCGCGGAGGAAGGCTGTGAAATAAATATTTGAAAGAGAGATGAATTTCGCGGTTTAACGAAGAGTCTTTCTCTGTTGCAGAACTGTACTATTTGATAGCCAAGTATTTATCGTCCGGCCCCTGCAAGAAAGCGTATGAGGTAAGTGTTGTTGATGGTACAGTGCAATATCTACCCGTGATCTAGCTGGATCTGACGAGTTTTCTCCTCGTTTCAGGTGCTGAGGGCCGAAATTGAAGAAAATCAGGTGAGTTTGAGATGTTGTGGCATCTGTCAGCTGACGGAACACGTGGTTGTGTGTACATTGTGAGATGCCGGTAGTGGGGGGCGTGTGTGGGAGGGGACAGAACCCCCCGAGTCACACATTTCAGGTGCCCCCCCGACCTCTATGTCATTTTTACGTTTTTCTCTTTTTTCGCAGTTACTACCTAAGAGATATGACTGGCTGGGCAATGAACATAGGAAATCACTCGATGAAGTGGTAAGTGCTATGGAAATTTTGACCCCTGTCACCGTTTGTACCCGCGGGAACGTGAGGGAATGGTGGGAAAGGGTGCGGGAAGATGGAGTGTAACATATATGTGAAATAAAGACATTGTGCAGCATTGATCATTGTCTGGCTGGAAGGTTTCGGCGAAGGAAAACATTTCTCCCAGTGGCGTACCTTGGCGCGGGTGGCGGTTGTGGACGTGCCAAATATTCATTTTTTCATCACCTTTCCCTCCCACTTCCTTTCATCATTTGGGTCTCCATTACTTTTTATCATGGAGATACTTTATAAAAGTTCAACATTTAAAAAGAAATGTGTAACTTAGAAACAAAATGGGAAGCGGTAAAATAAGGGATAGAAATAACTGTTTGGAACCTCGACTGGATGCGTGCCAGCCACACCGAGTGACGAAACTGGCAGCCATTCAGATTCGCCGGAGAGCCACCGCGGGAGCACAAGCGCGATTCTCATTGGTGGACAGACGTCGGCGGGGAGGGGCTTGCCGTAGGGATCAATATTGTGCAACAAGAGAAACAAAGAGGTTGCAAGCCAAGATGAGCGCTATTGGAAGGCGGCCAGACCACCAACCACCTCCTCCCTTTCTCTGCGTCCCTCCCTCCCCCTCTTTACTCTCCCTCCTTTGTCCCAGCCCCCCCTCTTTGCTCTCCTCCCGTTGTCCCAGCCCCCCTCTTTACTCTCCCTTTGTCCCGTCCCCTCTTTTGCCTTTCCCTCCATCCTTTATCTACCTCTACTCTCGCATTTTCTGCTCTCAACCTTTCGTCGTTCCCCTCTTGCCCCTTCTCTTCCCCATCCTCGTCCACATTGTTGTTGTGTTGTGTTCGTCGTCGTCGTCGTCGTCGTCGTCGTCTCCTCCTCCTCCTCCTCCTCCTCCTCCTCTCCTCCTCCTCCTCCTCCTCCTCCTCCTCCTCCTCCTCCTCCTCCTCCTCCCTCCTCCTCCTCCTCCTCCTCCTCTCTCCATCCCCTCTTCCTCTTCCCATCCCCTCCTCCTCTCCTTCTTCCTCTTCTCTTCCCATCCCTCCTCTCCTCCCTCCTCCTCTTCCTCTTCCTCTCCATCCCCCTCCTCCTCCTCCTTCTTCCTCTTCCTCCATCCTCTCCTCCTCCTCCTCCTCCTCTCCTCCTCCTCCTCCTCCCTCCTCCTCCATCCCCTCCTCCTCCCTCTCATCCTCCTCTCCTCCTCCTCCTCCCTCCCTCCTCCTCCTCCTCTCCTCATCTCCTCCTCCCTCCTCCTCCTCCTCCTCCATCCTCCTCTCCTCCTCTCCTCCCTCCTCTCCTCCTCTCCTCCTTCTCCTCCTCCTCCTCCCCTCTCTTCTCCTCCTCCTCCTCCTCCTTCTCCTCCATCTCCTCCTCCTACTTCATCCCCTCCTCCTCCTCCTTCATCCCCTCCTCCTCCTCCTCCTCCTCCTCCTCCTCTCCATCCCTCCTCCTCCTCCTCCTCCATCCTCCTCCTCCCTCCTCCCTCCCTCCCTCCTCCTCCTCCATCTCCATCTCCTCTCCTCTTCCTCTATCCTCCTCCTCCTCATCCCTCCTCTCCTCCTCCTCCTCCTCCCCTCCTCCTCCATCTCCTCCTCCTCCTCCTCCTCCTCCTCCTCCTCCTCCTCTCCTCCTCTCCCCTCCTCTCTCCTCCTCCTCCTCCTTCTCCTCCTCCTCCTCATCCCTCTCTCCTCCCTCCTCCTCCATCCCCTCCTCCTCCTCCTCATCCTCCTCCTCCTCCTCCTCACCTTCCTCCTCCATCCCTCCTCCTCCACTCTCATCCCCTCCTCCTCCCTCCTCCTCCATCCTCCTCCTCCATCCCCCTCTCTCCTCCTCTTCTTCCCTTCTCTCCTTCCTCCT